ATGTTTGCAGCTGTTTCCCCTCATTTTGAGTTGTGCCCCATCAGCAAATGAAGGTCCCAAAAGCTTTATTCCATCCATATCATCACGGTCCATTCTACTTTGAGGAGGCAGCTCTTCCCCAGGTGTATTTTGAGTGCCTTCCATCCTGAGGGGCTCATCTTTCAATACTATATCTGACAATATTCTGGTGCTCTTCATCATGCTTCAATATTCAATATTCTGCTGGTCTCTGACAGTGTTCTGCTATTATTCATAATGTTTTCAGTGACTAAATATTCCAAAGCAATCTGTCTGTCCTTCTTCCTAATCTTGGTCTGGAAGCTCATCTGAAACCTGTCCACCATGAATGACCCTGCTGGCATTTATAATGTCAGTGTCATAGCTTCCAGAATCACAGCAACAGACACACAAGCCACCATTGTGCAACAAACTGACAGACAAATGGTGGACTATGTCAATAGAGAACTCAAATTTATTCATTCATACAATGAATTAATATGTAGCAGATCAAAAGACACATGCATGCACTTTCATATAGAAAGATCTCCTGGAGATAATGGTTACGGAAAAGTACCTAGAAGGAAAATATGTAGAGTGTTACTTTATTTATATAAAAACTAATAATAAATATTACTCTGAATTTGTACATACACATAGGACACAATATATAATAACATACCAAATAACATATTGGAGGGCTTTAAAAAATTTGTGAAAAAAATTATTTATTATATTTTAATTCTTTTTTCCCCTTGAACTTTTTGAAGCCCTTTCATATAAAATATTAATTATGTAATAAAAACAATATGAGAGGTATGCATCAAACATCAACAATAGGGAAAACATTGATATTTGGTGGGGAAGTAAGCAAGAGGAAAAGTCACTTTTTGTTCTACATGCTTCTCTATATTTGTAATTTTTAGGACTGTGCATGAATTCATTTACTTGTGTAATTTAAATAGAACGAAAATAGTTTACTTCTGGGTGGATAAATGGTAGTTGGTGAGGTGAGGTGTGGAAAAGGAAAAAGAAGGAAAACAGGTAAGATGTAGTAAACAAAACAAAAATCTAATTTTGCATTTTCTGTACCCGATTTGGGAGTACAATATATAAGTCAGGTTCTGGGGAAAATCACAATCTCAAATACATAAGGCTTAAGTTAGAAACATTGATCTGATTCTGGTGGCAAAATCAGGATTAGTAACCCAGGAGAAGCAATAGAAAAGTGGATTCAAACTCACTGGTTGGAATGTTAACCCCCAGAGAGAGATTTTCCCTGAGCTTTGAAAATCTTTCTACTCCCCAAGGTGGGTCCTTCGCCAATTGATTGAATCACTGGTTCCCAGAAATATCTTGCCTTCAGTGATTGTCATTTTATGAGAATTGGTATAGTAGTACTAAGCAAATGGCAATTGGGCCAAATTCTATAAGCATACATTTATTGTTGAATCATCACTAAAATGTGACAACATAGCAATCTTACAAAAAAATAACTGAAGTTGCAGATAATTTTTAGAGGAATTTATTTCGATCTAAATTGCTTAGTTCTGCAAATTCTCTCTAATTTAGCAACTCACTGGTCAAAACATGGTTCATTCAAAGGCTCTTTGAAAAACTGATACTTTCTTTCATTTCCCCTGTTCTCTAACTTAGCCCCAGCCCTATAAAATATCCAAAAGAATGTTATGTCAATAAAGCAAAGACTTCACCTGGCAGAAGAAAGCCGTGTTATCTATTGTAAAGTCTAAAAGACTGCAACTATTGTGCATTTATCAAAGTGAAATGGATTTAGACTAATGTGAAAGACAGCATGACAAGCTTTATTATAATGTAAGAGTTTGGAATTCAGAGAAAAAATAGAAAGATAAAACTGCTTTTGGAAGAGGCCAAACTGCATACATCATCAAGTAAACATTGATGAGAGCTGTATCCATCAATCCTGACTTTGAGAAAGTTTTCTCAGTTGCTTTCAAAATTATAAAACCTTTTAAGGAAACTTATAATAAACATTTGGTATTTGTTTTGTACCTGTTTGATATAGATTCATTTCATGACTATTTATTAAAGACCTACTGTGAGTAGTTTGAATTTAACTACTAGCCTAAAAGTTGGCAGTTCAAACCTACCCGGCCTAGCCCTTATTCAGGCCTAACAATCTGCTTCCATAAAGATTAAAGCCCAGAAAACCTCCATGGGCAATTCTACTCTGTAACCTTGAGGTTTCCCGAAACATGAATCAACTGGATGGCAATTGGTTTGGTTTGTTTTATGGCTACGGTGGTAGTGGTGGTTGTGTGCTGTTGAGTTAGTTCCAAATCATATCAACCCTGGAGTTTCCTAGGCAGTAAATTTTTATGGAAAAGAAACTCTCATCTTTCTCCCATGGTTAATGGCTCAATGTGTGTAACTTACTACACCATCAAGGCTCCTTTATAGGTATAGCACAATCCAAGTATAATCCCTAATCTCATGAATCCTGTTACTTAGTTAACATTTATATTATTTTATATATTATATTCAATATGTATATAATGTGTGCTGGAGTCCTGGTGTGGTGCCATGGTTAATGCACTGGATAGCAAAATCAGTTTGAACCAAAAGGTCAACAGTTCAAGCTTACAAGCCACTACTTGGAAACTCTATACAGGATTGTCATGGGTTGGAACCGACACAATGGCACTTAACAACAACAACATAATGTGTGCTAGGTGTTAAGAGATATAAAGATTAATTCAGCAAATAAGCCTTGCCTTCAAGCACTCAAAATCTAGTAAGGGATACAATTTGCAAACCTCTACTATCCAGTAAACTTATTAATAGGAGTTAAAACAAAGTGAAAAAATGTATTTTAAAAATGGAAAAACTAGATCCACCTTTGCTGTTGTTGTTAAATGCCATTGAGTTGGTTCTAAGTCATAGCAACTCAGCATGGGTTTTCCAAGGAGTGGCTGGTGGCGTTGAACTGTTGACCTTGTGGTTTGAAGTCCAATGCTTATCCTACAGTGCCACAACAGTCGTCCAAAGGCATCATAAAAAGTTTCGCTCTGAGTTTTTTTGGTGCTTCATACATGTGTAATACCATCTTTCACTGGACTACCAATAATACACTGAAAATTTGTCATAATTTGTATTCTCTTTGAGCTGTCAACCAATAATCCTTTAATAAACACTGTAAGGTACCAAGTTTTGTTTTTGTTTTTGCAAAGATGCCAATTATGCAAGCTGAAAAGACAAAACAATTATAGTAAAAAAAAAGATACAAGCTCTAATGAGGAACACACAAGGTCCAACAGGTATGCAGAGTAAAAATGCCAAAATGGTTGAGACCTGGTGGATAAACAAGCATGTGTCAATTGGTCATGGAGAAGATGGAGTTGAAGACAAAAAGAAGAATGTGTTGAAAAACCATGAAACCGGGAGGTGGAATAGTCAATAGTTTGGCATGGCTGAAGCATTAAATGAATTGGGAAGAAAAACAGGAAGTCAAAGTAAAGTATGACTGGTAGACAACATTCTAGAGTTGTTATTTTAGGCCAAGGGCAGAGATGGAGTATTGAAGGATTTCTCTCTATTAGCAGACTGAATTGCATACTAGAATTGAGCCAGCCTGAAATAAGGGAGACATGTTTGGGAACTGTTGCAGTAATTTAGGAAAAGACAATGAGATTTTGAATTAGGGTAGTGGCAACTTAGATGAAGGCTTATAAGCACAATTTCATGGTAGAATCAACAGGAATTGGCAATTGATTGCTGAAGTTTAAGAGAAAGAGAAAAGGTTTACATGATCGTTAATCTAGTAAAATAATTGGGATTTACAGGTAGAGCAAGACCAAGGAGTTGAAGTCAGGCAGAATGTAAAATGCTTCAAAATAGTTTTGTTACTCTGTAAAATGGAAGTATACACTTTTCAGAGAACAAAAGTACGAGTCTTAGAGATTAAGGAAAGTGTTTAAGTAAATATTTCTTAGTAATAAGTCCTATGGTCAACGGTGCTACCTGGCCTATTAAGCTTCTGGGTTGTGTCCTTTTCACCATAACAATATCATCAAATAAAAATGGATTGATATTCTTCAATTAAATTTTCTTAATGTTTTTGGTATTCTTCAAATTAATCTTGGTTTCTAACCGACAGTCTCCTCAGTATCAAAGCAGCAGTAGTGAACTGGCTGTGCCTATTCAATATCTTACCAAACCCACATTATCTCATGCCCATCTTTTTTCTTGCCAAATTAGTGAAAAGTTTAGAAACTAATCAGGTGTTACATATAGAGAGCACATAATAATTATATTCAAGAATACATGATTTTTTTTAAAAAATGGAATCAATGAAATACGTTGCCCATTTACTCAAGACAATATGTGGACCACAGAGGCTCTGTAGGATAAGCAATGGACTTCTAACCACAAGGCAAGTGGCTCAATCCCACCAGTGTCTCCACCGGAGAAAGATGAGGCTATCTGCTCCCACAAAGATTTACAACCTTGTAAACTCTATACAGGCTCACTATGAGTCAGAACCAACTCCACGGCACATAACCACCACCACCACCAAATTCTCTACAGGGTCGCTATGAGTCAGAACTGCCTTGATGGCACCTTGCAACAACAACAACATTGTTGAGTATAAGGAGCTCTGGTAGCGTAGTGGGTTACTTGTTGGACTGCTAACTGCAAGGTCAGCAATTTTAATCCACCAGCTACTTGGAAGAAAAAAGATGAGGCTTTCTGCTACTGTAAAGATTTACAGCTTTGGAAACCCTATACAGGGTCGCTATGAGTCGGAACCAACTCGACGGCACACAACAACCACCACCACCACCATGGTTAAGTATCCATTAATCAATACCTTTCCAAAATATTTTTTTCCAGAGACACAATGGTTATCCAGTATATATTTTTAAAACATATACACCTTCTCAGAGAAATTCAGGATCCAGTGTATATCTGAGTAGGAACTAAAGAGACAAGACAAAATAAATAGAAGGTACAATGTTACTTACTTTGTCTTTGGAGAAGCTGAAAAGTTGTTTTCTTTCAGCAAAGAATTGGACGGCTATTACACTAGCAGAATGGCCCCAAAGGATACCAGTTGGCTTGGAGACAACATAGGGATTCCAAAGGCAAACTTTATTGTCAATGCCAGCAGTTGCTAATAAGAATAATAAAGGGGGAGGGTGGGAGATATTAAAAGCTGTAATAGCCAACTATATATATATTAATATTTTTTTTAATTAGCTTATTGTCAATATAAATGTCATCTGTCCTGGTAAACAGAAGAAGAAAAGTGATTGCACAACTAGGTGTGGCACTGTTGGATAAGCACTGGATTGCTAACCACAAGGTTGGCAGTTCAAACCCACCAACTGCTCCTTGGTGGGTCACTTAGTCAGAACTGACTAGATGGCACTTAACAACAACAACAAGCCCAGACTAATAGGCATGACTGTGTCATGCAAATGGTTCAAATGGAAGGAGCAAGGAGGATGGAATGTGCATGCGCGGAAAGGAAGCCCAATTAGTCACATTCAGAAGCCAGCCAGAAGCCTAACTAGGTGGGGACACAATCCTTCTTCCTTTGCTTCCCCTCTCAAACCTGGACAGTCAAGGAGAATGGGCTGTGTTGCAGCTATCCCAGGAGGAAGAAAGAAAGAAAGAAAACAATATTTATAGCATCCAAGTTAACTTAAAAATATTTTACAAACTAATTATTTTAACTTCCATGTAAATAATCAAGTATTCATAAGAAAGCAAGCACCAGAAATATAATTTTGTTCACCTTTTTTGAGAGAATAAGGTATTTTGAAATAGAAATTGGTTATATTTATAGAATGTTTCAAGAGCAGAATGTGCATTGCTTTCTCAGGTTTGGGGATATTCAGTATAGCATTCTTTGTTGTTCCCTATTTGGAAGTAGTCTATAGAACTGAACTTATTCACTCTTGTTTTCTAGCACTACAATAAGCACAAAGAACTATTCAATATAGAGGAATTAAAATAATCAATAAAATGGTAGATATCTATGGTCTTGCCAAACTAAGTTCACCAACTTTGCAGTTTTTTTAAATAAATCTATACTATTCCTTGAAAGTTTGATGTCGGTATATTCTTGAGTCCATATTTAAGGCATCTTTTATCATGATCACCAGGTACTATTGTTAGGAATTTTAGGGACCAAGCTCTCTAGTTAATATCAACACAGTGTACGTGATGATAATTATTGAATGAGGGTGAACATGACCCATTTCATAGGCCACATATGTTCTCTTTAACTAGCATATTAAAATTTTGATAATGTTGAATATTTTTCATAATGTTGGAAATTATACATACCAACTTAAGAGTTTTCAAAATATTTAGATATTTTATTTAAATAGTTAATCCTAACAAACCTTCACATTCCCTCAATTAAAATATACCTTTTAACACCAAAAAGGTATATTTTTTAGTAAACTAAAGCTTTGTTGCTTGCTGTTAAATCAGTTCTGATTTATAGTGACCCTGAATAGGGTTTCAGAGAGCAGCTGGTGGGTTTGAACTGCTGACCTTACAGTTTCCAGTCCACTACTTATCCTACAGTGCCACATCAGGACTTAAACTAAAGCTAGGCTAACCTAAAATTTTTCCAAAAGCATTAGAGGTTTTCATCTGAGTAGTGATAGAAAACACTGTACATCGTGCAGTTCTATGTTATTTATATGTCTGTGTGAGTGAGTGAGTGTGTGTGTGATAACAATAAAAATGATGTATTCATTTGGGTTGAGCATCTGGTGGTGTTAGGAAGATAGCAGCATGGCAGATGCTACACAAACTGCCTTCCTTCTCTGCATTATTTTATACTACCACCAATCCTAATAAAAAGACTCATTAAAGCATTGGGGCACTTTCTTAGATTTTTACCCTAAAGTAATTCATACATACATACCATACATCATAATGCATCACCACACATTCTTAGGCAATAAAATGTGAGCTTCCCAAGTTGCTCTCTCTGGCAATAAAGCAACAAGGTAGAGAGGCTTCCTGCATACAAATACACATTCCAGACTATTTATGAGGCCCTCATCGTTATCATGATTTATTTTACATACCAATTAAATTGAGCTGAGAGTGGTAATCAAAAGCATGAATGCCCTGGGCAATGTTGAAGGATGTCATTTTAAGATGCCTTTTTGATTTCTCTCTCCAAGCCAGCACCACAGAATTTATATTGCTAGTTGTACTGGAAATGATAGCATCTAAAGATGCAGCGTAAGAAACTAATAAAAAACAAAATTTCAAGGGAAATAAATGTTAGTTGTTTTTTAACAAGATATTAGCACATCAGAGCTATTTTAATAATTAGAGTTCAAAATGAAACCCAGATTATGGTTTCCAAATACTTAGAAACTTCTCACTAAACTCTACACCACCTCCCACCAAAAACCCTATAGTGAGATGCTACAAAAAATCTTGCATTCCAACTTTTCTCCTATTCTAGGGATACCTTCAATATTTTTAATTGGAACATATGTCAGGAAACACTATTAACACAATAGTCATATGGGGTCTTGGAGATATAAACTGAACAACTGGCCAAATTCCTGTGCTCTTCGCCTTGGCCCTGGTGCAGATAAACAGGAGCTTTTCCAGCCATCTGTTGTCCGTCAAAGGTGCAGCTCATGTCTGAGCCACAGATTATGAAAATACTGACTGGTCTAGAATGTTTGAGAGTAGGATGGGCAAGATTCAACCCCTGTCAAGCATCAGAAAAGCAGTTAGAGACTCAAGTTGGAATGTTGCTTCTGCATTTCCCATGGCGTAGTGCCAGGTGATACACAGCAAAATCCCTCTTCCCAAGTAAGACCAGCCTTCCTGCCTTGTACCTCAAAGTCCTTTCCATTCCTGTCAGACTTACAGGTTCCAACAAGTAAGTTACCAGAGGTGCTCTTTTCATCGGCTTTAAACCACTCTGCCCTATCTGTCTGGGCGAATGTTCTGTTTTATATTTATCTCAATGATTTGTGCCTCACAGTTGGAAGATTTCTTATTTGACCTCCTACCTCATATGCAGAGGGATATTGCAGCTTTGTATATCCTAAGAAACATTGCTGTAATAGGATAGCTTTCAAAAAATTGTCTCCCAAGAGTACCACACTTGACATTGTATAATTGTTATTGTTGTTAGGTGCTGTCAACTCAGTTCTGACTCATAGTGACCCTGCACATGGTTTTTGACATGGTAAATATTTTACAGGAGCAGAAAGCTTCATCTTTATCCCACACCAGTTTGAACTGCCAACCTCGTGGCTACCAGTCCAGTGCTTATTCTGTGCTCCTTGATATTATATAATAAGCAGGCAAAACCAGTTTGAACTGCCAACCTCGTGGCTACCAGTCCAGTGCTTATTCTGTGCTCCTTGATATTATATAATAAGCAGGCAAAACTATGTCTAAGAGTTGAGAACAATACCTAGCTCAAAGAAGGTGGCCTCCTGTGCTAATTTGAATGTGTGTCATACTCCACAGCCTGGTAATAATCCAATCTCTGTTATTAGGCTCCTGAAAGGGCTCACTGTGACTCTTCTAAGTCTTGTATTCTAGGGCTTTGACCTTAATTTTTTTCCATTTTGGTTATCATTCTGATACACATACATTTTATAAGTCTGGGTTCACTCCAATTCTGTTGCATCAGTCATGACTCAGCTAGTTCAAGTCATTTTGAAGCCCTGATCCAAACATATTATCACCTTTTTTACAAGAACATCTGAGCACCCCAAACAAACCTGGGTGGGTTTTGTCCTCTTTTCCTAGGCATAACCAAATGTAGTGATCTCCCCTATTTCCCTTTGTCCCTCTCACTCCAAGCTTTAGCAGTCAGCATCATCAGAAGAACTAATGTGAATTGAGAGCTTACATGCAGAGAGGCCTTCTTCTAAGCACTTTACACATAGCAATTCCTTATTCCACATTTATAACTCTCTGAGGGATTCATTATGTTTATTCCCATTTTACAGATGAGAAAACAAAGGCACAGAAATATTCAGGAATTTACTCAAGCTCAGGACACTAGTTATTTGGTAGGGTCAAATTCAAAACATAAGGTCTGAGCCATTGGCTTCTAGAAAGAGATTTTCAAGTATCCAAATGTACACAAATCACCTAGCAAATCTTGTTAAAATGCCAATTCTGGTTCAGTAGGCCTGAGATTTCTAACAAACCCTAGAGGATGCTGCTGATGCTCTTCAAGTAGCAAGACACTACCAAACAATCTCTAGAGTATAAAATGATAATGATATAGTTTTATACTCTAGAGAATTCATCAGAAGTTCTTGAAGTTTGCAAAGTTAAACCTCCCTTTGGGAATCTGATGAAATGTATAGATCCTCTCCATCATAAGGATGTATATGTTTACAAGTATGTATACAACATATGTGGATTTTTAAGAACCTCCCCACTTGCACTTACAAAGTCCACGAAAGATACATGATGAATAAGGTGATGAATCTCAGGTTACAAAGTTATTTTGAGTTGGGAAACTCTTACTTTTTTTTTTTTTAATTCACCTGCTTTTTCAAGTGATTTCTTGAGATTTCCCTTGCTCAATAATGTACACCCTTTGATTTAATCAGTGGTCATCACTGATTAAACTTTCTTCAAAGTTCTAATGAGTTTAGATGGCCTTTGATGCTGATATTCTCCTAATACTATTTCTAAGGGACAAATAAAAGGATCTAAAATGCAAAAGGGACTTTCACAAAGGGATTCAAAGCAGAAATGACTCATAAACCACATGGCATGATTAGAGAGATGCAAATCAAAACAACAATGAGATATCATCTCACACCAGTAATAATAGCAAAGATCAAAAAGGTAGAGGACAATAAATGCTAGTGAGGATGTGCAGAGAATGGGACGCTCCTGCATTGCTGGTGGTATTGCAAAATGGTCCAACCTCTCTGGAAAGCAATATGATGCTTCCTCAGAAGGTTGGAAATAGAAATACTTTTTGATCCAGCAATTCCTCTACTTGGTATTTATCCACAAGAAATACGAGCCACAACAAGAATAGATATATGCACACCAATGTTCACAGCAGCACTATTTACAATAGCAAAATGATGGAGACAGCCTAAGTGCCCATCAACTGAAGAATGGATAAACAAACCGTGGTACATACACATAATGGAGTATTATGCTACCTTGAAGAATAACAAGGAATCTGCAAGCCACCACATAATATGGATGAACCTTGAGGACATTATGTTGAGTGAAATTGGTCAGTCACAAAAGGAGAAATACTGCATAGGACAACTACTGTAAAAGACTAAGAAAAAGGACCCATACTAAAGCAGGGGGATTATTTGCTGGTTACTGGGATGTGTGTGGGGTGGGGTGTGGGAAGGGAGGGGAAGGTGGAGCGCAGGGAAGGGAATAGACACATGATAGTTTGGGTGCTAAGGAGGGGGGCAATACATAAGAAGGGGGAGGGGGTGGAAGAATAAAGTGGATGGAAAAACAATTAGGCAGGTTTGCATGGGCTAAGTGGGACAGAAGTAAATAACAATGTATGTACAACCTTGGAAAAACAGGGCTCTGGGATACAGGGATTGAGACATAGTTGGAATGGGGAAAAGGGGGGAAATAACATTAAGATGCTTGGCTGTCTTTTGAATCTTGGTTTCCCTGACATACCATTATAAAATAGACATTTACGGGGGAGAGAAAGGAATAGCCAGAAATATCACCATAGAAAGCTTGTAAGTCTGTCTTCTGTCTAAAACTGACTGGAATACCTAAAATGGGGCTACAACGTGCCCAGTGAAGGAGGCTTCCTGCAGAGCCTTTGCATTACATAGGACCATAGGTGGAATCCTAAACCGCATCCAGAATCTTCTGAGGTGGGAAATTTCCACTTGAAAGACAAGCAGACCAGCCTCGAGTGGCTAGAAGAGCAGAAGATACTTCTTGAAAGAAAGACCAACAGGAAAAATACAAAACATTATAGGTTGTCCGACTGATTACTACAAGAATGAGCAAGTTGCTCGCACAGGAGAAAACAAGGCAAGTGGTCGGGTCCCCTCAGAGCAAACCCCCAGAGAAGCAGTGAAGGCAGAAATGGAGGCAGAGACGATGATGTGGAGAGATAGAGTAGCTGGGGACTTTAGACCCAGAGAGGGAGAGGGGCTGTGTGCTGATGACCAGGGGACAGGCTTGTAGAGTATACCCTTTGGTTGGTTGATGATGCATGGAGAGGATTGTAACCATAGCAATGAAACAATATATGATAGAATGAATGTAAAGCTAATGTTCTCCCATGTAAACTATCACATAATTCACAATAAAAAATAAAAATAAAAAATAAAACCACACATGGCACGTAGAATAATTCACAGTGATATGTACTGTGCAACATGGAACTGCCAAAAACCAAGTATTCTACTACTCTACTCTGTCTGGAGGAGCTCTGGTAGCGTAGTGGTTACGAATCGGGCTGCGAATTTTAAGGTCAGTGGCTCGAAACTACCAGCTGTTCCGCGGGAGAAAGATCAGGCTTTCTACTCCCGTAAAGATTTACACCCTCAGAAACCCTGTATAGGGTCGCTATGGGTCGAAACTGACTCGATGGCACTTAACAACAACAACAACAACAACAACAACTCTGTCTGGATGGTATGGATTCTTAACTCAATTTATTGATACTAGGAGACCACATTATTAGGATCATTTATTTGAATCCTTTCATTAGCCATGCATTTTGCCAGGTGTCTTCACTCTACAATAATCTTCAGTGAATAATCATAGATTTGTTGGTGTCAAGTGCTGTCGAGTCAGTTCCAACCCATAGTGACAATGTATAGGGTTTCCGAGAAACAGCTAGTGAGCTTGAACCACCAACCTTGCAATTCAAACTGACTTTGTAGTCCAGGGCATTAACCCACAGCATCGCCCCAGGAGTCCAGGTTTACCGGAGTTCACGGATTTACTGATGAAGAAAAATACAATCAGAAAGCCAATTTGCCCAAGGGCATGCACAAATATTAAATTTGTGGATGAGCTTGAACCAAATCCTGTTTGTCTTTGAGCTACTTGGGGGCGGCGGCGGGGGTTCTTTTTTTTGTGTACTGTTGTCTTTCCTACTACGTCATACTGAGATGTATATACCAGGCCCAGATCTAAGGTTCTTTCTATTACCGATAATGATCACTGATTAACCCCGGAATTCTTCCTGAGTCTTTCCTTTTCCTAATCTCTCACATTCCTATTGTGGCTATTCCCC